AGATACCTATACCCTCATGTTCATTGATTGTAGCATTATTTACAAAGTCCAAGACATGGAAACAACCTAGTTCCATTGATAGATGAATGGATAAAGAAAATGTGGTGTGTGGGGTGATATACCTCATATAATATACACCATATAATATACATCATATGTATACAAATATATATTGGAATACTATTCAGCCATAAAAAAGAAGGCAGTCTTGCTATTGGCAACAACATGGTTGGACCCTGAGGACCCTATGCTAAGCGAAAGAAGGTAGACAAATATTGTATGATCTTATTTATATGTGGAATCTATTTTTTTAGAGAGAGAGCGAGTGAACAAGCAGATGGGGGGTGAGGGGAGGGGGAGAGGGAGAGGGAGAGAATCTTAAGCAGGCTCCACATCCAGCACGGACCCCAATGCTGGGCTCGATCTCACCACCCTGAGATCATGACCTGACCTGAAACCAAGAGTTGGATGCTTAACCTACTGAGCAACTCAGGCACCCCTATGAGGAAGCTATTTTTTTAAAAAGCTAAATTCATAGAAACAGAGTAGAATGGTGGTTGCCAGGAGCTGGGGGTGGGGGGAATGAGATGTTGTTCAGAGGGTACAAATTTACAGTTATAAGATGGATAAGTTCTAGGAATCTAATATTCAGCATGGTGATTATAGTTAACAATATTGTGTCATATACTTGATAGTTAAGAGAGTAGATCTTAAATATTCTCACTACACACATGCATACACACACAAAATTATAATTATGTGAGATAATAGATGTGTTAACTAACTTTATTGTAATAACAATTTTGCAATATATACACGAATCAAATCATTACATTATATATCTTAAACATGTCAATTATATCTCAATACAGCTGGAAAACAAAATAGGACAAAAAAAAAAAAGGGCCACCAAAAGTCATAAGATACCTAGAACTAAACCTAACCAAAGAGACAAAGGATCTGTACTCAGAAAACTAGGGAACACTCATGAAATAAATTGAGGAAGACACAAAGAAATGGAAAAACATTCCATGTTCATGGATTGGAAGAACAAATATTGTGAAAATGTCTATGCTACCCAGAGCAATCTATACATTCAATGCAATCCCTATCAAAATACCATCAACTTTTTTCACAGAACTGGAACAAATAATCCTAAAATTTATATGGAATCAGAAAAGACCCCGAATAGCCAAAGGAATGTTGAAAAAGAAAACCAAGGCTGGTGGCAACACAATGCTGGACTTCAAGCTCTACTACAAAGCTGTAATCATCAAGACAGTATGGTACTAGTACAAAAAACAGACACATAGATCAATGGAACAGAACAGAGAGCCCAGAAATGGACCCTCAACTCTATGGTCAACTAACCTTCGACAAAGCAGGAAAGAATGTCCATGGAAAAAAGACTGTCTCTTCAATAAATGGTGTTGGGAAAATCAAACAGCCACATACAGAAGAATGAAACTGGGCCATTTTCCTATACTATACATAAAAATAGACTCAAAACCGATGAAGGACCTAACAGTGAGATAGGAATCCATCAAAATCCTAATGGAGAACACAGGCAGCAACCTCTGTGACCTCGGCCGCAGCAACTTCTTGCTAGACATGTCTTCAAATGCAAGGGAAACAAAAGCAAAAATGAACTATTGGGACTTCATCAAGATAAAAAGCTTTTACTCAGAGCAAAGGAAACAGTCAACAAAACCAAAAGACAACTGACCAAATGGGAGAATATATTTGCAAATGTCTTAATCAGATGAAGGGCTAGAATCCAGAATCTATAAAGAACTTATCAAACTCAACACCCAAAGAACAAATCATCCAATCAAGAAATGGGCAGAAAACACGAACAGACATTTCTGTAAAGAAGCCATCCAAATGGCCAACAGACACATGAAAAAGTGCTCAATGTCACTTGGCATCAGGGAAATACAAATCAAAACCACAATGAGATACCACCTCACACCAGTCAGAATGGCTAAAATTAACAAGTCAGGAAATAACAAGATGTTGGTGAGGATGTGGAGAAAGGGGAACCCTCTTACACTGTTGGTGGGAATGCAAGCTGGTGCAGCCACTCTGGAAAACAGTATGGAGGTTCCTCAAAATGTTGAAAATAGAGCTACCCTATGACCCAGCAATTGCACTACTGGGAGTGTACAAATGTAGTGATCCGAAGGGTCACATGCACCCCAGTGTTTATAGCAGCAATGTCCACAATAGTCAAACTATGGAAAGAGCCCAGATGCCTATGGACAGATGAACGGATAAAGAAAGGTGGTGTGTGTGTGTATACACACGCACACAATGGAATACTACTCAGTCATCAAAAAAATGTGAAATCCTGCCATTTGCAATGATGTGGATGGAACTAGAGGATATTATGCTAAGTGAAATAAGTAAATCAAAGAAAGACATTTATCATATGACCTCACTCATGTACAATTTAAGAAACAAAACAGAGGATCACAGCGGAAGAGAGGAACAAATAAAACAAGACAAAATCAGAGAGGGAGAGAAACCATTAGAGACTCTTAATCATAGGAAACAAACTAAGGGTTGCTAGGGTGGGTTGGGTGGGGGGATGGGGTAACTGGGTGATGGACATTAAGGAAGGCACGTGACATAATGAGCACTAGGTGTTATATAAGACTGATGAATCACTGATCTCTACCTCTGAAACTAATAATACATTATATGTTAATTGAATTTAAATAAAAATTTAAAAAAATGGGCCAAAGCCTTAGCAGACACTTCATTAAAGAAGATATACAGATGGCAAATAAGCATCTGAAAAGATGTTCCACATCATATGTCATTAGGGAACTTCAAATTAAAACAACTAGTACACGCCTACCAGAATGGCTAAAATTCAAAACACTCACAACACCGAGTACTGACAAGGATGTGGAGCAACAGAAACTCTCATTCATTGCTGATTGGTGCAGCTACTTTGGAAGACAGTCTGGTGGTTTCTTACAAAACTCAATATACTTTTACCATAAGATTCAGTAATCAGTCTTCCGTACTGACCCAAAGGAATTGAGTAAAAAGATTAGTGGTTGCCAGGGTTATGGCAGAGGGAGGAAGATTAATAGATGGAGCACAGGGGAATTTTAGGGAGGTGACACTTCTCTGTATGATGCTATTATGGTGGATATATGCCATTATAGATTTGTCCAAACTCATAAAATGCTCAATACCAAGAATGAACCCTAAGATAAACTATGGTCTTTGGGTAATAATGATGTGTCAGTGTAGGTTCATCAGTTGTAACAAATGTACCACTCTGGTGGGGGGTGCTGATAATGGGGGGAGGCTATGCAGGTGTTGGAGCAGGGAGTGAAAATTTGCGAAATCTCTGTACCTTCTTCCCAATTTTGCTGTGAACCTAAAACTGCTCTAAACAATAAATTCTATTACGTAAATTTCAAAAAAAATGAAAATAAATAAACTGACCAAAGAAGAAAAGTTAGTAAAAGACCTTCACTGCTGATCTTTGAAGTACACTTCAAGTCGGTTTTGCAGCTCCAGCCTTTGGAAGGTTAAAGAAATGTGGAGAGAGGCCGGCACGCCCCCTACAGGAGGGGAGAGGCGAGAAGCGGGGTGGTTTAGGCTCGGCCTGAGGCTCTTACAGCAGGAATTACCAGGAAGTGCTGAAAAATACCAACGCTCGGGTGGCCTCACACCAGCAGAGGCTTTCCAGTGGCAGAGTCCAGGGAGGGGGAGTTGAAAAGCTCTCGCGTTCATTCAAACGTGCAGCCGGGGCTGAGAATCACCGGGACCGAGCGGCGGCAGGTGGGGGAGGAACTGGGGGTCAGCGTCCGGGAAGAAAAGGGAACTTTCCCGGAGAGGACGACGCCGCTCCCCGCGCGGTCGCACGGTGGGGTGCTCACGCCAGCCGCGCTTTCCAAGGGCAGGCAGCTTGGGTCAGTGGGTTTCACGTCAAGCACAAGGTCCCAAGGGCAGGTGCGCCAACCACCGGCCCTGGGAGGAGCGAGACTAGGGCCTTGGGTCTGTAGCAACCGCCCGGCCCTGGGTGTGGGCCTAAATCGCGCGCCCCTGGCCTTGCCGCTGCCCCGGGATGCTTTTCACAACCGAGTCCCGGGCGCCGCGTGCGGACTCCGAGTTCGCGCTCTAGTTGACAAGGGCTTGTCACTTTTCCTACTCTATTGCCACCAAGTGGCGATTACACCACTTCGGACCTCCCTTTGGTGACGCGAGGACGAATGGGTGACCACGTCTACTTCGGAGCAAACTTTCTCTACACCTGTTAATTAATGACCTTTAACACTAAAAACAGGCAAGCACACAAATTAGAAAAAAGCAACAAACCCACACAGACACACACAGTGCGCGCGCGCGGGTCCGAGAACCAGCTCAGGGAGAGAGAAGTGGAACCAGCACAAGAACCTCGCCAGCGCCAGGTTGGTGGGCTCCCCCTCACCCGCCGCCAGAGCACCCCTCGCGCCCTCTCCGCGCGCCTGCCCGCGGCTCCGCACCTCGCTCGCCTCGCGCTCCTCGCCCACGCTGCCCTCGGAGTCCCGGAACCTGATTTGGCGGCCCGAATACCTTGGGGACCCTGCGGAGGGAGGCCCGATCTCCTCTCCCCCAGCGTCCTCCTCCGGCGCGCACCGGCACACCTGCGACCCCGCGCCCCGCAGCGCCCTGGGAACACCTGTCCGCGGTAGGAGGGACCGGAAACGCGTGTCTCTGGGCGCGCGCACCGCCCACCTCCGCCACCTGCCCGCGCTGCTGGTGCCTGGCCCGCTCCCGGCTCCCGGCCCCCGGCCCTTTAAGGCGGGAGGTTGCGGCGGCCGCGCTCGGGGCGGGGAAAGCGAGGCGCGCCACGCGGGGCTGGCTCCCCAGCAGTAAGTAGAGGCGAGGCCCACCTCGGGCCCGGCAGCGTCGCCAGCCACGCTTCGGGGGCGGCCAGAGCTCGGGGAAGCGGGCGGCACTCCCGGGGTGGGGCGCGCGACCCGCGCTGCTAAGGGACCCGTCCCCGACCCCCCCCCACTCCTACCCCCGCGGGTTCCCGGAGCTCTGGGGCCCGCCGGAAGTGAGTGCGTACCTGTCGGCCCTTTCGAGGGGGCCGGGGGTCGGGTTTGGGGGACTCAGGGCAGGCCTCCGAGCCGCCGGAAGCCCGAGTCCGCCCCGGGCCCTGGGCTCTCGCTCTCCTCGGTGGCGACTTGGGGTCCCAGAGTGTCTTTCGCTTCCAGGCTGGGCGAGATGGAGCTGCGACCGTGTCAAAAAGCCGGAGAATCAAACGGTTAACACTCAGTCCAAGTGCAGGTTCGGGTCCGCGGCTGTCAGTGTTGAACGCACTGAATTTAGAGGGGGTGGAAGGAAGACCAAAACAAAACAGCAACACTATCCTGCCGACCGCAGCGGGTGGCAGCTGCAGTCTAGACGGGCCCGGAAAGCACGACTTTAACTGCGGCCCTGGGCTAGCAGCACCGCTACGCTCACTCTTCCCGCGGCTCCAGTTCACCCAGCGGTCACAGCGGAGTGCCTAGGGCATCCTGCGGGAGTCCTACGGTTGTGGGTTCTTTTCCCAAAGACCTCGTGTGGCATGGATTCAGAACTAAATTTCCCTTCCCAGAAGAGGAAGAGCCGTGCAAAAAGGAATTAGACAAAGCCCTCCTCTCCCCCCCCCCCCCCTTGTCTTCTTTTGAACTTGTAAGAAACGGCCTTAAAAAGCATTTGGGACTACTTAAGAGGGTGCATTTTTTTCTGGCCAGAGCGTCACGCAGGCTTCTTTTGCCCAACAGCTTTGAGGGAGCCGAGAGAGCCGAGTGCAGGCGAAATGGCCCTGGTGCCCTATGAGGAGACAGCAGGAGTGGGGTTGCAGAAATTCCACAAGCCCCTTGCCACTTTCTCCTTTGCGAACCACACGATCCAGATCCGGCAGGACTGGAGACAGCTGGGAGTGGCGGCGGTGGTTTGGGACGCGGTGAGTACCCCACTGGGCCTCTGCAGACAACCACAGTGGATTATAAGACTGGTCTTTATTTACTTATTTTTAATAACAGCTTTATATTGAGATATAATTCATATACCAAAGAGTAAGAAGTGAAGCTTGCCAGATTGAGCAGGTAGGTACCCTGTGTTGTGTGGGCAGTGTCCTTGACCCTTACTGTCCCCGGGAGGGAGCTCGTGGGGCCTGAGGCTGCAGTGTCTGTGCCCGCTCTAGGGGGTCCGCTCCCAGCAGCAGCTGAGTTTCTGCGTGTTGCCAACCTGGGACTGGAACCTTGCAGCGGGGAGGGGGGTGTGTCCTGTCTTCCCGCTAGTGCGAAGTCGGCCAGAAACCCTTGGGTTCCTAAAGCACTTGTTGACTTGGATCATCCCGCTGTGCTTTGATTCAGGCTGTCGTTCTCTCCACGTATCTGGAGATGGGAGCTGTGGAACTCCGGGGCTGCTCGGCGGTGGAGCTGGGTGCCGGCACTGGGCTGGTGGGCATAGTGGCTGCCCTGCTGGGTGAGTGCCGTTCGCTGGCTCACTCCTTTATGAGTGGAACTCATTGCGAGGTGTGAGTGCTGTTTCCTTGACACAGACCCATATTAGTTTCCCCCTTACCGGATTTTTCTGTGCCCTGTGCTTATGAGTCGGTTGCTGGTGCCCTTAACTCCAACAAGCCTTCTTGCTTTCTTCTCTCTTGCTCTTGCTCTCATCCTGTTATTTATACTTCTCATGAGAGACTGCTTTGCCCTCCTCAGTTTATTTTTTTTTAAGCAAACACATTTATTTGGGCAATTAGAATTGCAGTTGAGGAGACAATTAGGTTGTCTGAATTAGGTTCCTGACCCCTTCAGTATTATGCCAATAATATGATCTGAAGTCAACTTTCAGTTCAAAGAGAATTCTCATATTCACACACAGTTTTTTTTACAGTTTAGGGGCCTTCCCATACACTATTGGATTTAACCCTGTGACGCAGGTAGAGCAGGTAGTCTCATTCCTATAGTTCCCTTGCTGAGGAAACTTGGCTGGTTTTTCTCTTCTAAGAAGGGTCGGCCCTGCTGTAGTTTGTACTGACATCTTATATTTAAAAATTGTATTCACAGGGGCGCCTGGGTGGCTCAGTCAGTTAAGCATCTGCCTTCGGCTCAGGTCATGATCCCAGGGTCCTGGGATGGGGCCCTGGGATGGGGCCCTCTTTCCCCTTCTCCCACTCCCCCTGCTTGTGTTCCCTCTCTCGCTGTCAAATAAATAAAATCTTTTAAAAAAAATTGTATTCACAGTATGCAGACCTGAATTGATATCAAGGTTTTTCATTTTTTTTGTTTGGTATGCACACATTAACTTAGGCCTAGAGCATTTTTAAGCTTTTTTATTTCCCTTAAAGATTTTATTTATTTATTTGAGAGAGAGAGAGAGCATGAGCAGTGGGGAGGGGCAGGGGGAAGGGAGAAGCAGGCTCCCTGCTGAGCAGGGAGCCGGATGCAGGGCTGATCCCAGGACCCTGAGATCAGGACCTGAGCTGAAGGTAGATGCTCACCCAGGTGCCCTGAAGCTTTTGTTTTTATTTTATTATTCTTTGTTGACTCCTTTCTATAGCTTCTGGCTCATGCAGTTCAAACTACCCAATGATAGGATAGGCCACCTTCTAAGACACAATATATAACATTTATCACTTCAGTATTGTTAAAACGCAGTTTCAGCTTCTGTAGGTCTGGGGTCAGGCCTGAGAGCCTCCAATTCTAACAAGCTCCCAGGGGATGACGATGGCGACACTGTTGGTACTCAGACCACACTTTGGTGGTCGGGAGCTGGAATTCCATTACATAGTGTACAGGTACTCGAGGACCCACGAAAACCCCTCCGTTATTGTGTCCTCTTTCTGGTAACTTTTTTTTTCAGTATTCCTTTCTCTGTTTAGATGCTGCCTTCCCAAATGTGATGGGGAGCAGGGGCCGCGTGGTGGGGATCTAGGTTTCCATCTGTCTCACACCATAGCCCGTACAGGCACCGATGAGGCCCTTGCTCATACACTGCCTTTTGTTAGCCTTATAATATCTCCATGGGTGTTAGATATTATTTTTAACTTTAATTTTGCCAGTGAAACTGGGGTTCTGGGAGATTAAGCCCCTTTGTGAAGTCCTGGTCAGTGGCGACTTGAGAGTCAAACAACAGGCTTGTCAGACACTGTGGCTCTTTATTATCTTTCCTTGACACTAACTTTGCTGATGTGAGAGGAGTTACCTGGAAGAGAAATGAGGTTTCTTCTGTTTCTCCAGAACTGCACAGCTGCATCAGCTGGTGTAGAGAGACTAGTTGGCAAAGTGCATAGGTTTAGAGTTATACTTGTTTTTTTTTTTTTAAGATTTTTATTTATTTATTTGACAGAGAGAGAGATAGCGAGAGAGGGAACACAAGCAGGGGGAGTGGGAGAGGGAGAAGCAGGCTTCCCACGGAGCACGGAGCCCGATGTGGGGCTCGATCCAGGACCCTGGGATCATGACCTGAGCCGAAGGCAGACGCTTAACGACTGAGCCACCCAGGCGCCCTGAGTTATACTTGGTTTTGACACCTCTTTTAACTCTTACTAGCTCTGTGACCTTGGGCAACTTGCTTAATCTCTCCACTTCAGTTTCCCTATAAAATGGAGTTACTAGTTCATGCCACGTGCGGATCCAATGAGATCAGGCATAGGAAGTGGTTAGCTCATTGACTGGCACAAAGCAAATGCTCAAATAAATGTTGATTGCCCCTCTGAGTATTTCTGTTTGTGATCTAGAAATCTGGGTCTGTGGGGTGGGGAAAACTGGGATGAGCTTCTTCAAAGACGAGCGCAGAGAGAGGGACTGGTTAGTTGTTGCCTCACAAGATGGATGGCTGGGGAGCGGCTGGAACAGAACCGCAGACCTTGTGCTCGGGACGGGGGATGCGTGCTTCCTGGTCCAGCTTCCCTGTCACCTCTTTGAATCCTTTCCTGCCACACAGAATTCATTGCTGCCTGATTTCTTCTCCCCAGAGCGCTTGGTCTGCTCACCACCTGTGCCCCAGCTGTGTCACATTTTGTAACAGGTGATGGTTCCTTGTGTCTGTCTGTCCTGGCCCGCTGAAGCTCCTGAGACATGGGACTGCATCTTACTCTGTGTGTCCTTGGCCCCAGACACCACTTGCCACACAGTAGATACTCAAGTAGTTCTGGAATAAGAGTTGGACAAACTAGAAGATTATGAAAAGTAATGTTTCTTTTACAAAAATGATGTCACTCTATTTCAAAAATAGCGCTAGAAGCAGAATAAAGAAGGGGGACGACAAACCCATCAAACGTCCTAATTATTCATGATTCTGCAACATACGTACTGTTGCCATTTTGGTGTATTTCCTTCCATTCTTTTTCCTCCACCTGTATTTTTTTTTTTAAGATTTTATTTATTTGAGAGAGAGAGAGAGCACGAGCAGGGAGGAGCGGGAGAGGGAGACTCCACGCTGAGCAGGGAGCCTGCCACGGGGCTGGATCCCAGGACCCTGGGATCATGACCTGACCCCAAGGCAGACGCTTAACCAACTGAGCCACCCAGGGGCCCCACCTCCATCTGTATTTTTAATCATAGTTGTAATTCATTGTTATAGAGGTGTGTGTGTATGTGTGCACACATGTATATGGACATACGTACACACCTGTATGTCTCATTCAACGTTACGTTGTGTGTACCTCTCTGTGCTATGTGATTTGCATACCCATTATTTGTTGTGGCTGCAAAATATTAGGCGTTAGTTTGGAGGTTGAAACCTGAGAGTAAAGAAAAAATTAGTCTTTTAGAAAGGAGGCAGTGAGAACTAGAATAGGTAATGATTTTGAAATGTTAGATGTTGATCATTCTCTTTTTTTAAAGTATTTTCATTTTCCATAACCTGAGTCATTTATTCCTGAATTCAGGGAACACCCACCAAAAGCCGGGCCTGGTTTTAGGTGTTGTGGATCCCTGCCTTCTGAGGAAGCTTCCATTCTAATTCTGAGGGGGGAGGAAGGAAAAGACAGATTATATTAAAAAGCCAAAAAAAAAAAAACAACAAAACCCTGGCGAGTTCTTTGCAGAACTTTAATAATGGGTGATGAGATTTTCCTGTTAAAAGAAAAAAACAACACCTGTTAATTAGTGGGCAGTTTCCAGGTCCTTCTCACCCTGCCCCTGTGTGGTGGGTGGGTCCACTTGGCGCTCTCTGTGGTGAAATGAAGGCTTGATAGAGGTCAGGAAACCTGCCCAAGGTCACGAAGCTCATGGATTTTGGAGTTAGAATTGGAATCCAGTTCTGACTCTTAAACCCTGGTTCTTATTTGAAAATCTCTTTGTACTGTGTGGAAACTATTCTTAGAAAAAACTATCTCATTTTTAAGATAGGGTTCAGTAAGTTGGGGTGGGGTTAGGGAACCTGGATTTTAAAAGCTTCTGAGGTGATTTGATGCCAACCAAGTCTGGGAACAGTCTGAAAATATGGCGCTCAGGAAAGAGTTGTCTTTTAGTTTTCTGTACTCCTGGTGTGTGAGTCTCCACTGAGCTTTCCACTTGTGTTTCACTGAAGGCTGGGTGTCTCTGCCTGGCTATTTCTCAGCACCTCAAACAGAACGTGTGTTTACATTTGAACTCTTCCCTTTGCAAACTCATCATCCTTTGCTTTTGTTCTGAGTTAGTGTGGCCGCCCACGTCATCACTCAAGCCAGCGGCGGCTTGACCTGCTCCCTCAGCCCCAGCTCACTCCCTGGGCCCCACTCATCTGTCTTCTAACAGTTTCTTGATTCCAGTTCTCCCTTTGCGTGCCCCCCGGCCTGGCTGGAGCCCTCAGCATCTGTCTCCTCCGTGATGCTGCGCGCATCCCCACTGCCTCACCTCTCTGCCTCTGCTTTGTCTTCCCAGACCCACTTCCCAGTAGGCCATCCTCCTTGCAGAAGTGCTCGGGGCACCTGGCTGGCTCAGTCGGTGGAGAACGTGACTCTTGATCTCGGGGTCATGAGTTCAAGCCCCACAGTGGGTGTGGAGCCTAGTTAAAAACAACAACAAAAAGCCCTGTGCCTCCCCACGGCCTAAGACTCACGAGGTTCTAACCCCGTTTTGCCTGACTCTTCGGGCTCCTGTTTCAGACCGGCTGCACTGTTTGCGGTTCCAGGGACACATCCGTGGCTTCTGGCCTGTCCCTTCTGCCCTGAATGCCCTTTCTTCACCCCTTTCCCCTGGTTAATGCCACATCTTCCCAGTGTAAGCTCAGATTTCCCTTCCTTCTGAATTCTTTGACCTCTGCCCCTCTCTAAGAGGGTCTCCTTTGTGACCACATCATTTCCTGGCAACCGCATCTCCATATTTTACTCCGATGTTGTGTCGTAGTTGTGCTTCTGTGTCTCTCTCCCTCCTGAGACTGAGCTCCTAGAGGCCAAGGATTGTTTTGCTCATCTGTGTCTCTAGTACGTAGTATGTGCTCCCATGTTCGAATAAAGTAAGGTGTTGCTTACAAAAGTACCAACTAATGTGATGGTAGGGGTTCATGCGTTCTTTCTCCATTACTGAGTGAGTGGCCGAGGGACATGTGGTCGTGTTGGGTCAGCTCCCATGAGTCTGTCATGGGCTAAATGTTGCTGCGCCCTCTACACACAGCACAAGCCTCCCGGGGGGTCATTTCTTCACCATCTTCACATCCCTGGGCACTCTGCCCGTCCTTGCTTCTCCTGGCTAGGCTGAATAGCAGGTGTAGGGTAGCACTCGGCTGATTCCAGGCCTGTGTCCGTGCAGGCCCCGTGTGGCTGTGGGCAGCACGCTGCTGTGGGGTCTCACTTCACATCATGGCTCAGGAACCTCAGGGGGCAGGTGATGCCACTGAGCAGCCCCATTCTGCTTCCTCTTTTACTCTGCTGAGCTCCTCCGTCTCCTGTCCACACTCCCAGCTGGTGACGTTTCTTCTTATTTCACTGAGGAGATTGCGGCGGGCAGAAGAGAACTTCTGTAGCCTCCCACGCTGCCTCTAACTCTCTTGTGCCTGGGCCCACCGGCTCCACCTTTGCCCTCCGTGGGATGCTCTCACATGCAGGGTCTGCCCTGCACGGGCCAAGCCCCTCTCCCGCATAATCATTTTTCCTCCCTCTTTCCAACTGACCATTCCCATCAGCCTACAAACTTGCTGTCTCCTATCTAAAGAAGAAAAAAAATCAAAAAAATTTTAAGTGGCTGAAATTGTGTAATGGAAATGTATTTTCTGTAGCGGGAAGTAGATAAGATGACCCAGTATATCTCATTATACCAGATAGCAAGGAAGCTAACAAGGATGACATGGTGTTGTGTCAAAAGTCCACTGGCAAAAGATAGGACAGTTTGAACATCAATATTGATAATGGCACTGGATTTAAATATATCAAATATGTTTAATCCATGAGTTCATGATACAACAGCAACAAAATAAACCCAATTAGTCATCTTTCGAGGATGCTTAGAAACCAGTTCTTTGGAATCTGGTGTATAAAAGGGGAGGGAGGAGCAAAGTTTATCCTACTCAGTTTCTGTACAAAATGAGTAACCAAATAGTAGTTGAAAGAAACTTCCCTTTATAGAGATTTCTCAACAAACAAATGCAAAAGTAATCTAGTGAATTAAAGATCTGGGCACTGGGTATTTGTGCCTGCTCACATCACAAAAATAGAGCCTACCAGGTCCTGCATACATCTTGATGAAGAACACACCTCTGAAATAGTCTTGCTCAAAAAAGTAAGCTCAAATTTACAGGAGACCCAGAGGAGCCAGGAACATGCTAAACTACACAAATGGTACAATCAGCAAAATCCAGATTGTGGGAAACTACAGGGCAAATGATCTAATGTTCCCCAAATCACAAGGGGAAGAAAGATTCAAAGGAAATTGACAGATTCAAAGAAATCTAAGACCTTTTCCATGGCCCTCCCTAAACAAACACCCAAAAGGAAACCACAGACAGAGCTGCCCTGTGCAGGGATGACATCTGGGTGATGAAACCTGAGTGGGGGGTGAGGGGGAGTGCTTCTCAGGAGAGGCTGCTCCTGGGCAGGTGTGTTTGGGAGCTGGCCTGGGGTGGTTAGAGCAAGGGGGCAAACCACCCGCCTCCTTCAGCTGGGTCATTGTGGTGACCTCTTCACACGACTCCTTGACCTACTGCTACAAATTCTGTTAAAGCCTGAAATCATGGGCACTTCTGCTCAGCACTCTCCACTGGCTTCCCATCTCCAAAAAAGCCAAAGCCTTTCTGAAATGTGACCTGTGAGGCCTGCAGAGGCCATCTGCCTCCTGCCCGTTACTTCCTCGACCTCATCTTCTACTACTTCATTCCTCATTCACTCATTCCAACCACGGTGGCCTCCTCACCTGCCCCCCTGTAGGCCTTGGCACTTGCTCTTCTGCCTGCCAGGAAGACTGTTCCCCGTGCGACGCACTCAGTTATACCTTCACTTCCTCCGGACCTTCATCTGAGTCCCCCTCTCAGTGAGGCCTTCCCTTTTCGTTTGGTCTGAAATGTCAGCCCCACCTCCCTTACTTTCAGACATTTCACATCTCTCTTTCCTGCTTGTTTTCCCCCTAGTCCTTATCTCTAAATGAGTACTGGCTATTCTCATTTTAAAAACTCCTTTTACTGCCTGGCTCCTCACTTGAATGTAAGCTCTGTGAGGGCAGGGGCTTTTTGTCCCTTGGCTGATGGTAGCTACTTGGCTATTTGTACAATTGACAGATGTTACAGGGGAGTGGCCAACTCACATCAGGATCCTGGCAAAACTCCTGGAACCCCTAGCTGGTTAGCAGTAGCCTCAGAAACCCCCTGAGACAGGCATTGAAAAGGTCTACATGTAAGAAGTATTAAAATGAACACCGAGATGATATGCAAAAGACTAGATCACTCCAGGATTGCCCCCAAATGCAGATTGTTAAGAAAGCCAGAGATAAAGTTCTGAGTCAAACCAGGAAAAGGCTGTGATTTTTTTTATTATCAGGAGAGATGAGAAGTATCTCCGAATTCTGCTCATCGGGCAGCATGCTGTCTAGCACTGAATGGTCAAAGTGGTAGGAGCACTCTTGTAAAATCTAACAGCTTGAGTGTTTTCTTCAGTATCACACTTAGGACTGTAAACGTCATGTAGAATTACATAGTGTCCTAACATTACAAGTCAAGGTGAGAAACATCAGTCTGAGCTGCCACTGAAATGCTGCTTGCTATCGCTGGACTGGAGCCCCGTGGGGGATTAATGAAGATTACCAACTAAAGAAGGGTGCAAATGAGAGGTCATTTTATGAAAGAATGAATCACAATGTTAAATTTCAGAATTTACAAGGCCCAAACTAAACAGGATTACACATATTGTATTGTTACTGCAATGCAGATGAGGTATTTCAGGGCCGACCTTATGTGGTTCTTTGACCTTAAGGGTAAACTACCAGTTTACTGGTTCATGGTAAACAACTCACAAGAAATATTAACGGAATATTGCCTCATTAATTCTATACACCGCATGTAGAAACTTAGCATTTAGAAAACATGATCTCACATTTTAACCTATAGTACTTTGATACAATCGAGTAATTTTTAAGTTTACCACTTTTCAAAAATTATACACACACACACACACAAAATACATAATGCTGCTTCCTAACAGCAGATGTGGACTGGGATTTTGTAATAGCCAATTAATCTCTCCCTTGATTCCTTTTTTTTAAAGATTTTATTTATTTGAGAAAGAGAATGAGAGAGAGAGCATGAGAGGGGGGAGGGTCAGAGGGAGAAGCAGACTCCCTGCTGAGCATCCCTGGACTCCAGGATCATGACCTGAGCCGAAGGTAGTCGCTTAACCAACTGAGCCACCCAGGCGCCCTCCCTTGATTCCTTTTAAGGCTTAGACTCCAGAAAGTGGCCTTCCCCTGTTTTGGGTATCTTGTCATCTTCATAATTATTTGCTCCTAGATTTTTCTTCTGTGGATTCCATTTTACCCTCAGGTCTACTGACTTGAAGATCATGATCTAATGAAGGAAGTATAGTGGTAGACACCTGTGGAGGGTGGGCCAGCTCTGCCTGCAGAATTCAGAAGCTTCAGCTTGTCATTTGGGACTCTGCATTTTATCAGCAGAGCTTAGCAAACAGGTGTGTCAGAGATGCAAATCAAAGGTTCATGTTTGCCAGTGAGCAGTGCAGAAGGAGCTACTGGTCATTGTTCTGTTCTTCTGCAGCCATCCATGAAGGGTATGATCCTCTGGGTACTTGGTGGAATACTAGAGACACTCACCCTGCTGTTTAACTTGACCCCCCCGCCCTGTATTGATGTGCACATAACTGTCTCTCTGTCCCACATTCTAGGTGCTCATGTGACTATCACGGATCGGAAAGTAGCATTAGAATTTCTTAAATCAAACGTTCAAGCCAACTTACCTCCCCATATCCAACCCAAAGCTGTTGTTAAGGAGCTGACTTGGGGACAAAATTTGGGGAGTTATTCACCTGGAGAATTTGACCTGATTCTTGGAGCTGATATCATATATTTAGAAGAAACATTCGCAGATCTTCTGAAGACTTTGGAACATCTCAGTAGCAACCGCTCCGTGATTCTTTTAGCTTGCCGAATTCGCTATGAACGGGACAACAACTTCTTAGCGATGCTGGAGAGGCAATTTACTGTGAGTAAGGTTCACTATGATCCTGAAAAAGATGTATATATTTACAAAGCACAGAAGAGAAACCAGAGGGAGGACTTATAGTTGACTTTAATTTATAAGAATGTTGTTATTGCGTGTGTCAGTGAAGGTCTTAGACTGGGAATTGAACATTTAATGAAATGGCTTACTGAACAAAAAGTCTAACCAAAGGTTCTCAAGGGACAAAGCACGTTTTAAAACAAAGCAGCAGTCTATCCCACTGCTATGACTTTTTAGTCCTATTTGACTCTGAAAAATTTAACCCCCATTAAAGGAACATATTGAGATATCTGTGTCCCATACTCCTTCCTCTTGATACACAATTTCCCCTGATGATATAATGAAGGGCCAGTATAAGGGTGTCGTCAAAGCAGTGAGCTTGTTTGGGTGAGGCTAACCCATGCAAATTATTTTACATACATTCTGAGGTATATGTTTAGCCCAGTTTTCTACTTTTTTGAATATAAAACAAGAGGCTTGATGTATATATCCCCTGAGCTGTTAAAGCTCTTGAGATATTTTTTTTATCTGCCCCATTTAGGTCTTAAATAGTTTTGGCTATTTGAGAGTAGGATATGAGTTCTCGGAGGTCTCATTTCATGCTTTTTGGCTTAATTTATGATTTAGGTATATAAACAAAGGATTAAGTAAAAATAAAATTTTAGCTGCTTTTTGACAACCCCTAAAATCTCGGCCCTCCATGTGCTGTGCACAGGCTTTCTTTAAAAGCTATAGGTTTTACCTTAGCACTCCCTTTCCTCAAATGTTGTTCTTGTATTTCTTGCCTAGGCTTTCCCCTCCTCTTTGTAATGCATAGGGTGACAATGAAAACGGTTTTAAATCTCACCTCTTAGGGAAGGTTAGCTCCCTGGAGGAGAAGCTCCTTCCATACTGTACTTGTAAGTTCTTACTCTGTGTCCAGACTCCCCCAGAAGATGGGGAGCCTCTTGAGGGCCAGGACTGCTCGATCGTGCCTCTTCCCTGGCTGCCTCCCAGTAGCCAGTGTCTCAGAGCCAAATATTGGTTGAATGAAAAAGATACATTCCATTTAGAGGGGACTGGTTTTTGGGTTAAATGATTGCTTCATTGTTTTATGATTATCTTTGACAGACTTTATGAAGTCACATACTTTTTTTTAACTGTACAAGCTTAACAGCTTCAATAAATTTACATGACAAGAATATTATATAATCTCAGTATGGTATTTGGTACTAGATTTCCTTTGTAAAACATTAGAAATAAGACCTCCTCCTTCCTCTTAACCTTCAATGACTATCTTGGATGTGAAAATACCCAATACGTTATTTTCTACATGTATTTTAGAGGTTTTACTTTAATAAAGATGAATTATGAATTAAAAATTCTGAGCATTCTGTGATGTACTGGTTCAACAAAATTCTGATAAATGCACATGAAATAGAAATATCCATAGCTTAGCAAATCCATAAAATGCCAGTAGCGTGCCATGAACATGGATGGTCTTTGAAAATGAGGAGCCGTGCAGTATCATCAACACTATAATGAAAGGCCAGTCCCATTCAGGTATGTTATTAGAAAGTATTTTAATTGGAGTTCAGCTCCTTTAATATCCCTGACTTTGGAGAACAGATACTACAATGATTGTGGGTATGGATGGAGACAGGTGGGATGGGGTCGGGGTGGGGAGCTTCCAGATGTCTGGATGCTCTACCAAGTGAAGCAAGCATTAGTTGGTGGTTTTACATGTTCATAAAAAATAAGAATCAGAAAAAGGTAATTTTTTTTGTCTTAATAGAAGAAAATAAAAGGCAAGAAAAATTCAACAGGAATAGTTTGGTTGTTTCAGTGAAAAATCAAGTTTCTCTGTTTTGGCTTTGGGTTTCAAATGTTGTCAAAGGCTAAGTTCCCTGGGGGAATAGAGATGGAGGTTAGGGTGCAAAGTTTAAATGGGAATGCTTTCAGATCTACCTCTCTGAGGGAGTAAAAGTAGCAAGACTGGGAAGGAGGGAGAAGTTGGGCTGGGATGCAGTCAGGAAAGTCCTCTGAGAACTGAGAGCTGGGATGGCCCTGCAGTTGGGCCATATTAAGGCAAGGGGGAGGGACTTTATGTCCCAGCAGAAGAGATTAGTCATTTGACCCGAGGGGCATGACCTTAGGGTGAGGAAAATACCTGGAGAGAATCTCAGCTGAGGGCCATGAACCAACATTCTCAGAAGCTGGGGCAGTGACTGGGTGGGGTGGGGTGAGAGGTTGGGGAGAGAGGGTATGTCTGGATGGTATGCCACAGTATCCACTATAAATGTCAGTAAAGTTGTGACATTTTTCTCTTATGTTAAGGGATTAATTGATCCCATAAGCGTGCATTCTAAGTGTGCTTGTTTTATCCTCAAGGATAAAAACCTAGTTTAAACCTACTGTACACCAAGCCTTCTCACATTGCTGAGTTTCTTAGAACTCTTCAGACAGTTATCCAGTAGGTAATATTGACTTCTCCCACAACTAAAGCCAAATACTGGTACCAAGATGCTATGTTAAAATATATGTATGTATGACATCAGGTTCTTAGAACTACCACTAGAAAGTACACTGTCATCTTTGAAGCCCTGGTACTATCTTTGGTTAGTTTCTAGTGGAACATTCTTTCATACAAAAGGATCAGAATTCTAATCAAAATACTTTATCTAAATTAACTGAACACTAAATTGAAAATGCAGGGCAGAATAACAACATTGTCTGGAATGTTTTATCTTACCAAACACAATTTATGCTCCTAGAAGACAAGTGTTAGGTGCCCTCTTCATAAAGGGCAAATGTTTTCAAAAGGGTAAATAAATGTTTACTTATTGCTTAATTTCTGTGCTTTATTTTCCTTTGCCCAAGGTAGGGATAAATAATAATCACGGAGATGAAAAAATAAAGCATACTCTCAACAAAATTATCAACTTATATAAAAGATTCACCTCTAGTATCAAATCCATTTACTCTCTATGCTTTTAGTTTATGGTGGTTGATAGATTGAAGCATTTATCAATTTTTAAATCAAGAAAACAATAAAATTTTGAAGTAATTTAAAAAATCACTTTTTAATGTACCAGTACTGCTAAGAGGCCCTTGACCTAGGGCCTGACATCATAGTTGGTGAGACAGTCATGTGATTTATTTTAGTGTCAGAGACGTGGTCACAGTTCTGCTGCTACCCCAGAACCTCTACCTAGACAGAAGTAGCATTTTCAAGGTCTTTAACAAGAATAAGGCAAGACATTGCTGTGAGCATGGAGAACCTTGTTCTGGGAAACAAGAGACTTCGTTTCTCTTAACGCTGACAGGAACTGCATGAAATCAGGGCAGGCCTCAGTTCTTTTTTGTCACTTTAAAAACTGAGGATTTGTTAGCTCAGAAGTTTCTTTCCACTCTTAAGTCACGTTATGCTTTTCTTTCTACAACCAGCAAAGTGTTAAAATTTAACACTAGAAAAGCTGGCATGCTGAGAAACTGTTTCCTAGCTGAGAACAATTGCTTCTGAGAAAGATTAGAAGGGTAAACCCTGTGAAAGAGGTGTGAAAAGAAAGGCCTACCTACTATACAAAGCCTTGTGTCAAGGCTGGTTCTGCTACTTCTAACTCCTAAAAAAAAAATTACATAGACTATATATAAAGTTTGACATAAAAAATACTTAATAACATATTTTTATTAATTTAGCAGATTCTTAATGCCGAGGAAGCAACCTCCAAATATGAATACAACCATACTTAATAATAATTTCCACTTCTCGGTATCTATCCTGAAGATGAACCGGCTTGTATTTATACTAACTTGTGTGTACCTGTTAACAGTCAAAAGTCACAACCTAAATGTCCATAAAAGAGGGTGCTTACTAAATAAACTATGAGATATCTATACAATGGGATACTGCATACCAGTTAGCAAGACTGAGGCAGATGTACATATACTGAAATAGAACTGTCAAGACACATTCAGTGAAAAAGTACCATTTATGTAAAAAGGGGAGAGGAGAGAATAGACATTGATTTGCATGTACATGCACAGATTGTCACTAAAAGGATACACAAGAAACTGCTTCTCCATTTGTAGTTTTTTCCAAATGTACATACTACTTAAGGAAATGAAGTGAAAAAATGAGGACATTATCAAGAAAGTGAAAAGAAAAGAGAATGGGAGAAATAATTGCAAATCATATTACCTGATAAGGGTCTAGTATCCAAAATTATGTAAGGAACTCCTAAAACTCAACAACAAAAAACACCATTAAAAAATGAGCAAAGGACTTGAACAGGTATTTCTCCAAGACATACAAATACCCAAGAGACCCATGGAATGATTCTCAACATCATTAATCATTAAAGAGTTGCAACTCAGAAGAGATACCTCTTCACACCAATAAGGATGGGTATAATTAAAACAAAAACAAGTAACAAACGTTGGCCAGGGCATAGAGAAATTGGAACCCTCATACATCACTGGGAGGAGTGTAAAGTGGTGCGGCAGCTCAGGAAAGATTTGGCAGTTCCTCAGAAAGTAAACATAGAGTTACCATATGGCCCAGCAATTCCACTCCTAGGTATCTATCCAACAGAACTGAAGACAGGGACTCAAATACTTGCACATGAATGTTCATAGCAGCACTATGCACACACAGCCAAAAAGTAGAAATATCTGAATGTCCATCAATGGATGACTGGATAAACTGTGGCACATATAATGGATTATTATTCAGCCATAAAAAGGAATGAAGTACTGGTAAATGCTAGTGTGGAGGAAAACTCAAAAACATGCTAAGTGAAAGAAGCCAGACACAAAAGGTCACATACAGTTCTACTTATATGAAATATTCAGAATAGGTAATTATAGAAACAGAAAGCAGACTGGTGGCTGCCAGGGGCAGGAGGGAAGGGAAAATGAAGAGTAACTCTTTAATAGGTACAGGCTTTTATTTTGGAGTGATGAGGTTTTGGAGCTGGATATACAGGTGGTGGTAGCTAGCGCATTGTAAAGGCACTAAATGCCACTGAACTGTTCACTTAAAAATGGTCAATTGTTACGTAAATTGCACCTCAATTAAAAACAAAAATAGCATTCAAATGCCTGGAAGTACCTTTCCTCTTCACTTGTTAGGTCCTCAGGAGAATTCTAAGCCCCAAATTTGGTCAATGTACATAGGAGGTGGAGAAATTAAAATGCACAATGGAAGAATAACGCTGATTAAGGCAATGCTTTTCTGGGTTTTTGCCTTAAGCATTTTAGTGGAATAGTGGCATCATTTATAAGATGGAAAAAACCAGCTGAAGGATGAACAGATTTAGAGAAGAAATTAGAAGTTCTGTTT